CCCCACCCCACCCCCGCCCACAAAAAAAGGAAAGAAAGAAAGAAAGGAAAAGCGTCCATTGTTCGCTAAGAGCACAAACTTCAAATGGTTTTTCCTTCGTCATGCGTTACTGTGGATACGAATGTGCAAGTATGCGGCATGCTGTATGTCCCATTTGAACCAGCACTATGGGCCAGCTTCTCATATGTGCGATTTTCTGTCTCCCTCGCTGATCACGTCGCCCATGAGGCAGTATCGGCGGAGCGCCAAGCACTTTTCGGGCCTCACGTTTGTGCAGACCACCTGTTGTGAATCAAGCTTCTTTGAATGGTAGTAAGGAGCGCCGATGCTGCCAACCCGCTAGTTTTAGCGGCTCTTGACAGGTAGAAAGCGACCATTTAGATAGTTGTGAACGGCATCGCCGCCCTTTGGTACTTTCTCTTTGCGATATCTGCCCATCCTGGCATTGACGGGAAGTACCTGTGCCCTCTTTCCCGGTGTGCCAACTTTCTCTTTAATGGGATTCAGCATTCACCTTCATATACACAGCATTTCAGGGCTACATATCGCTTTGTACTTTGGAAGTAGAGAAAACCTCCATGCTCACGAATGGTGCTTGGGATTTGCGGAGTCTTTGCATGTTGACTTATCACATGCTTGTGTGATTATATGTTAGTGTTTAAGACCCTATGACACACAATATTTCAAGCATTGAAATCCACGCACCAGCAACACATGCAACTTAGGCATCGTTTGCACATTGGGGCCCAAGTTTGGGTGCTGTCCAGTTGTGCTTGATATCGAACACCATACAAATGTAGACAACAGAAGCAGCAGAAGTCGTCATACAACGTTATATTGAAAAGAATGGTCAGTGAACACGCCACGCATTTTCAGTTGATCGAGTTCGTCATTTTTTAATCACTCAATATGACTACAATCAGGGAACTATAAAGTATCCTGCCTGTATATGTTCGATCGAATTTGCCCATCTCAGTTATGACAGTGATTTGCTGCCAAAATGTCTCTACAACTAGTACTCTCAGCAGTCAATCATAGTTCTGTTCGTGTCAAGTTGATCACAAAGGCAGTCATCAATGGCATTTCACCGTGCCAAACACCAGTGTGGTGCTAATTTCTTCCTTTTATTGGGTTCAAGTCCTACGCAACAAGCCAGCCTCATCTACAGCTACTGGCCCAGGCTCCTTTGCCCCTCTCATGGCTCTCTCAACTCACGAGCAAATTGCCCAGAGGCCCTTTGCCCACGTCCTCAGCCCCTCTTGGTAGGCCACTGCTTTCCACAGTGTTGTCCCAAGTGGCCGTTTTCTGCACCTCTGTGGCCACCTGTCTTTCCATGTCCACTCACATTTGGGCACCTGAAACCATCCATTCTGATTCCAGGCACCACTGCAAGGTCTCCATCCATACTTTCATCATCCATGCCCTTCACATCACCTGTGACAATCACCCTTCGAAAGCCATGAACACCCCCTTCATGGTCGTCAGCGATATGCATTTGAGGCATCACGGGATCCTGATACAAGCGCCCTGGCCGCAACCTATCAACATGATGCATATGCATGCCGTCCACCTGAAAACAATCAGCAGCACCTGAAACAACCAACTCTAAGCCACCATTAAGCTGGGGGCCCATGATCCCAGGGGTGGGCACCAAGTCGACCCCACTGGGTGCCCTGCCAGTAGCTACGTGGCACAAGGGATTGCCCAATGAATTCGTGCCATATGGTAGTTCACCCATGCAATGCTGGCATTGCGCTGCCATCGTCTCCTTTGGCAAGGTTGCACCCCCACTATTGCAGTCCATGGCCTGTGGGGCACTGACACACCCTGGGCCAATAGCTGGCCAGCTGTGCACACCCCTGACAGCACTCTTCCATGGTCCATGGTTGGCAACAGAGGCAGGTCCCATTCCAATCATTTGCAAATTGATTATTGATTGTCCAGGCAATGCATTGGCCATGTGTGAAGGCGTCATGGAAGGGACATGTTCATCAAAGGGCATCCGGGCGATTAACGACGATCCTTGAAGCATCAGCTCATCTTCAATGCCATCATTACACCCATCTGTGCTGTTTGGTATTGGTGGCAATTCCTCCTCTGAGATCACAGGTCCGAGCATGTGGGCATCCTGGGGTCTCAGATACTGCAGATCGGTAGGAATAGGAGGGCTGATGCGCTCCAGAATACGGAATGCAGGAGGTACTGCATTCCATGACGACTGCCTGATTCCTGGAACGTAGAAGGACCTACATGTGCACAATTGACTGTTCTCCCTCAAGAAGCAGTTAGATACATCCTTTGCACATGCAACAATGTGCATCAAGTTTGCAATGATTCCAACAGCGCTTTTGTCATCTCAATTGAAACAGTCTTGGAACACATGCCTTGTGCATCGCTAGAGCACCTCATGCTCAATTATGCCTGCAGCCAAAGCCTTGCTGCCACAGTGGAAATGCTTGTCTCAATGGACGACTTTGCTGGTATGCCTGAAAACAGCAGCTCTGAACCTTGCCAAAGCTGCCTTTTCTGTGAATGCATGATGTATGAACAAGCCACAATGATACTATGCTGACAAGAGAAAAATAGTTGTGATTGTAGGGAAAGCAGTACACGAATTCCACAAATGCAACGCACTTCATGGGCAGCATCATCGTTTCTATGAGAACTATCACCCGCTCATATTCCAGAAAAGTGCTATGTGGTCAATTGTGAACCAAGCTAACGGGCGTTATCGCATCTGTGATGTTGCTTCCACTCCAATGGGAGACACCATTCAGCGGACAGCACCGCCAACATTGGACCCTGAATTGATGCCCTGAAACATGGGAAACCTGATTCTATTGCACAGGCACTGCATATTGAGTATGCAAGAGCAAACAACATCACCAATAATCTGCATGGCACAATCAATGAGTTGCAAACTGATTGCATTGATGAACATGGCCAATTTGCCACATTCTGCGGGCTTGACAACAACGTCGCCCGCCCTAGCACTCCACCTGTCAATACAGAGACTGGTGTCCTCATGTTTCTTGACGTAGCCCTTGGGCACCGGAGTTTTGGGCGGAACAATCAACACCATCACACGAGGCTGGAATTCAGCAGCATGACTCACGAACTGGATGGCCAGAGAGCCATTCTTCCCAAACGGTGGGTTCAGTCCAATGACAAGATGGTCGCCTGGACACGTAAAAAGTGTAAGTCAGGTGTGGGGTGGAACTGTCAGTTCTGAGCTCACTGTCTCACACTCAACTCAGTCAGCTCAGCCAAGATGTTGTCTTCAGTGGTAAGTACATTGTTGGTTATAGATTTGCTCAGAGGCTGCTTGCACTGCAACCTATCGTCCAATGGTCCATATTAGGAAAAAGATGGGGTCCCATATGAGCTGACAATTGTGCCGCATCAAGTGCCACAGAGCATGTGCTACTCACGAACAGCAATCATTGGCCTCATGAGTGCACAATCAATTCAAAGAACGTATTTGAAGCCTGTGCAGACCTTGCCAACTGTGTAAACTTTACTTTCACAGAATTTCAGTGAGCCTATTGGCCAGCAATTCTTGCAAACGACGCATCATGCAAGAATTTTCCAGACTCCATTAAACAACATCAGCATAAGGTCAACCCCTAGTGCACGCCTAAAAGCCCTGCACAACTGGCAAATTTCACCATGTACTCACTTTGGATGTCAGCAAGAAGTTTCAGCAGCCAAATTCCCAACAATCCCCACTCAAGAGCAATAATTGGGACTCTGCAAATAATGGGACACAGAAATATGTAGCAAATACGACAGAGGCAAGGGACGAAAGAATGCATCTACATAGTAGTAGCTTATTTTCCCCTGCACTTCAATGCACCAGCAAACATACCTGAATTTAACTGGCCCTTGTGAATTTCAAACCAGCTTGCCCGTTCCCAGTGATTGGTATCCTTTGGTGTGAACAAATCAAAGGCCTTGAAGTTGATCTGACCATGCCACTTGCAATTCAACTGGTAGAAATACTTGTGCTGTGCTTTGGCAAAACATTACACTCTCAAACTCACCATCAATATGCAATTCCAAACTATTGGTAGAAGCCGTACAGATGAATACAAATCTGCTAGATAAGTGAATGGCACAGCGCAGGTGAAGAACACTGATCATATTGACCTGCCAGCCCAACTGTGTCAACAGTGTCCGCATTTTCATCAATATCAAAAGGCTTTGCTTGTTGGGACATACTTGCATAGTCAAACATGCTGAAGAACATGGCCCCATAGACCTTCTGCCCTAATATTTGAAACAACACGAAGAATTCCTTAGCCTACAGTATGCACTGACCTCTTTACCCTCACACAAACTCTTGAGTTGTGCAATGAAAGCATTTGATCCGCAGCTGCAGTCAACCACCTGATCTCCGACTGCTAGGTAGTCCATTAAACGATGCACGACAGCAGCAAGGATGTTCGGCAGTGTGAAGTGTCTACCATAAGATGTGTACCGCCCAGGGTGAAGGAGTGGCCCCAAGTAACACAACATTGACTCCTTTGTGTCCAATATGGCTCTAGCAGTCTGCAACGCACCCAAAAGCACATCAGCCACTGGTTTTACAGAAAAGACTGACTTTTTGTAACATCAAAACTGACAGCTCTTGTTTGTCCATGTACATTGGATAAGAGCATTCAAAGTGCTGTATGCACACTATATTGTGAGTTTCATTCTATTGGCAGCAATGAATGAGTCCCTACAAACAACACGACAACAATGAATTGGTCATGACAAGTGTCTCCACAGAGCTCAGGTGATCAAAAAACATTGACTTTTCTGGTGGTTCACAAGGACCTCGAAATCCTTGTTAAGACAAACAGCCCACATGGAGTCAAACCACCTTGGAAACTCTGCTATAGACCAATGTTTTTACAGCCGCGCACGTGCCCTAGCATGGTTTATCAGTGTTGACACATGCAATCGAAGAGAAACTGCACATGCACAATTGTCCCTTTGCTGAACCAGGGCATTTCTAGCCTCCATCCCCGTGAACCGGGTTTGCTAGGTTGTGGACAACCACCAATTGGATTGCTTGACAGTCCATCACACTGCCCAATCAGCCTCTTCAATTGAACATCCCCACTACGTTGCTTGTTATTTAAGGGCACAGTGAACATGCAAATTTTCAGTGTTTTAAGGCATGGAGCTTTCACAAACCTGAAGTTGTGGATCCACAAGTGGACAGGATACAATCCAGATCACTGGAACAGTTTAAGGGCTAATCACCAGCAACAACAATCTGGCATTGTCCACCCCACAAAGTGCTTGCTGGCACACGCTGTTGCATCCTTATACACTTCATGCGGTGTGCCGAATGGCAAGCACTTGTGTGGTTGCTGTTATGATGGGAGCAGTGTTGCACACTGGCCAACTCAACACAGAAGAGAAGAAGGACTGAAGCCTTGCCAAATCTGGTTCCAGCTCTACCCTTTCATCTCTAACCTCTTATGGGCTATGTGTCTTTTCTGTTATCACCCACGCCTCTGCTACCATGGAGACCATAGTACAGAAGGAAGCGGAGTGCAAAGGGTAACAGCCACATCAGCCTGGCTGCATAAGCTGCCAAGTCAGCAGCTGTTCTTGCCGGGCTGCCCATAAGCAATCATCAGGAAACCAGTCAGCCCGATGGATATCCCAAATCTGGGGTAAAAACCGGCGACTGAGCAGCCAAGATTGTCATTCAGGACATCGCCTGGCGTACACCATCACATTGAGGACATGTTGCAAGGCATCGCCTTTGGCATACTATTTGAATCGCCACTAGATGACCATCGCCGAACCCCTGACCTAACCACATGGATCGTTTAGATGATATGCAATTGAATGAGACTCACCAACACATCACGCCATTGAATGTAATGTATGGGATGGTTTGTGTTGCACATCCTTAATTCACATATGTGATCGAATGCATCAAGGTGCAAGTCATGGTGTACAAAAGAAAGGGCATGAAAGCATCTCTATTGGTGTGCGCTAGGCTCTAGTGGTGCAACAGAGGAACGAATCTCACTGCTGCCTGTGATACCTTGCTAAGGCGGACTTTTTTGAAAACAACTGCTGCTACCACTCCCCTGCATCCATAATGATGGGCGCTATCGCAAGGAAACTTTGGTTGAACAATATCAGGGCCATTCCAAGACACTGCTGCAATGTTCTGTCTGAACAGCACCAGGCAGGGGTCTCCACGGTTTGCAACAAGATGGACAATCATTGAATAACTGCTGGGGGTGGCATCATCTGTCAGTGTCAGCAAATTATGCTAGCTCGCTCATGCTAGTTCGCAGACAGACCATCTCTGCACAGAGTCCAGGGATGCTAAATCGTGAACAGCCCGCCGGCATATTAATAATTTGCAAACAGATTGTTCATCTGCAGATTTGCAGGCAGACACAGAGACCCCTAGCATCAGTTGGTATTCTGGGGTGCTATTTCGCACCAGCATGAAGGGGCATGGGACGCCATGTGTGCGATGCCACCCGTCCCAATGGCGTAGGTTTGAGGTTTAGGGGAATGCGCGGGATGCCGTATACCCATCCCGAGACCAAAAATTCCGCCTTGAACCATGATTTTCAGACCCAAGTAGCACGGCTCAGGGCCAAATAGCATCGGTGTGCAATTGTTCCCCCAACTGTCAATGATGGTTTCTTAATTTGTGGTGCTGTTCAGATGATCCAATAACACTGCCAGGACAATACTTCCCACGAATAAAGATGCTCTGAGATGTCCTAAGTGTGCCAAGCCAGCAAGCATGATAATAAGAAACAGAAGGCAAAAACTGCCAAATGATCACAGTGATGTGATCGAGTAGCTATCAGAGTCACCAAGCTTGGTTCAATCAATGAACAAGCAGTGGCCTCAGAGCCAAGTGTTTACTGTCTGCCCAACTAAGCCACTTGCTAGGCCAAAATGATGGACAATGGCTCAACAATGAGTGACCAGGGCTCAATCACAACAGCTGGCCGGTTTTCTAGCGCTGTGGCACGATATGACATTGTATTGCTCGCCGCCATTGAAGTGTCGCTGCAACCTTACAATGACTAGCTGGACTCCAGCACTTGATGCACAGGGAGGAGCGCACTGTGAATTTGCAGATGGCAACAGTCGTTGTCAGAGAGAGCAAGACAGGACAGGTGCTTAGACCTAGGGACAAGGTGTAAAGTTCAATGAACGTGGCTGACGAACTTGGGATTCGGTAAGCCACAGTCTTATCAACAACGAACATGCATCAATGTGAGATCGGAAGAAAGCATATGGAGCACTTGCGTGACACTATCATAGCAAGTTAGGGAGGGGCATGCAGAGAAGATGCATGGAGCAAAACATCACCAAACAAGAATGCCAATGGCTGTGGTGAGAAAATGGAAATCCTTATGGTTATCATCTGGGATATCCAGCATTCAATACTCAACAAACGTCTGCTATTGCATGCCCATGAACCTCAATCACCAAATGCGAAGGTGGAGACCAAGGTCCAGAAGGTCATCGCGGGGGCACGCGAGGAGGTGCACAGGAAATGCAGAATTTGCATGTGATTAATGCCATCATCATTAATGTGACAGGAACCATCAACCTTGATGTGCCATCAACCTTGATGATGAGATAACAGGTCTGGACAAATCCAAGTGGGAAGGGGTCATACACGTCCATATGGGGACAAGGGCAAGAGTCAATAAGTGCACGGAGGTAGAAGGAAAGTAGGCATAGTATTGGACAGTTTGTTGGACGTAAGAGAAGAATTGTGGCTGACTAAGGGGCAAGGGGGCTAATGACTACAGGATGGATGTGGATGATCACATCCAGAATTGCCTATTTCTTCAGGAAAGAGGTCAATTTAAGTAGTCCTGAAATTGAAGTGCACAAAAATGACGATCTATGAGGTGAAGCATGCATTGACAACGATAAATGAGCAAAACTTTTTCCAATTGGGTCATTGTAACAATTTGAAGTGGTGAACGTGCTATAAAGCAACTTCCTGCAGGACAATTTTCACCAAAGTATTCTCTCACCTTTCATTGTTCATACACATACAAACTTGCAATGCCACTAACTCATGGAGCTGGAACAACAAGATCAGCGCATACCCATATCATGGTGGCTTGGGATTTGCAGGCTGGCAGCATGTTGTTCATGCTACTATTACTAATGCCACAGCTATCACTATGCTATCACTGTCACCATCACTATCACCACTAATGATAACAATATGCCAATTGATCAGAAGTAATCGCAACGATGACAATGCAAATACAAAGCGCAAACAACAAGCACAAGTGCCAACAATTGCTCAGCATCAATTGATCTTCGTTGAGATTGTGCATTAATTTCGTATCACCGATCCTGAGAGCTTCTCACGTTGCACATTCTTGAAAGGTGACACAAGTACCACATCTCTTCTGTTAGGACCGGACTTTGAATTTTGCGCAACACCTGGACTCTTTAATGTGATGCAACATTTTGGAAAAAAAGAAGCCCAACAAAGTTGATGGCAATGGCATTGAAGTGTGCATTTTTGCACTCTCAGCTTTTCCTTTCTTTTCCTTTTGGCTGCAACCTGGCCAAGTTTCACACTTCTTGGATGATCAGGCTCTAAGGTTTTAGGCTTCCTGCAGTTGTTTGCAAGTTGCAATAACAGCTAGTGTGCAAAAGAATGACAGTGCGAGATGCACAAAGGTCAGTTGGAAGCTGCAGTGCCCACCCGCAGCTGCAAGATGCAAGGATCTTGTTCAACATGCCTCTTCTGAGAGACGGAATCCCCATAATTTTTAGAAGCATTGATCATTTCAATATTCTAAGCCAACAGAGCCAAGGTGGCAACAACGGGCTAGCAGGGTGTTTGTCAACTCCTTGCCTTCTGTGACAAGATCTCCCTGGCTCTTGAGGGGTTGTCCTGTGCCATCTTCACCGATCTTGTGAAGAGCTTCACTTTTTCCAGGGTCACATTCTGGCCCCTGGATTCGTCGTCGTATGGCTGGAACTTCCACACCTGCACAATGCATTCAAACATCCCCAGTGCTGACCAATGCCATCGTTGCTATGCAGGTGCATTGCCTTGTTACTTCAAACAATAACTTAGGCAAATTGTGGACATCTGTGTTGCAATTTAGTCATTTGGCTAACATATACAGCCCTGAGTTGCTGTATCTCAGTTCATGCCTTTTTGGGGCACCACAGTGAGGAAATGTTGCTCCTGTCCACAGTTCCATGTGGCTGAGTAGGCAACATGGCGGCCCCTTTAAGAGACAAGCTTGAAGCATTTAGGACCTGCTTGCAGTTCTAGCACCAGACAAACCATAGAACAAAGAAATAGCACGTTGCTGCACTGATAGGGCTGATTTTGATGAGAGGAATAGGAAATTGAGGGATGATTCTGCAGTTCTGCAGTTTGCAGCTCAATATTGAGATGCACTGGCACAGTTCCAAGACAATACAGTTTCTGGCATGGATTCTGCAAGCCAACAACAACAATGCACAAACCTTATCCTCCACGTCCCGCACGCTCAAGTTCCGTCGAGCCTGGTCAAACATATCTCTGACCTCCTGGTGGCCCATGGTGTTCCCCACGAGGTCGTATTTTGCAACATCATCCTTTATGGCCTTCGCCTTGAGGGTGCCATTCTTAGGCCTCTGCAGTGCTGGATGGTTCGGTGTCGAAGGGATGACAAGCCTTCCCCTGACCTTACGGGATTTGCCATCTGGCTGCTCTTTGCTCCTCCTTTGCCTCTTCTGCGGTACATACAGATGGAAGGTATGGCACCAGGATATCGGTGGCTATTTCTGCACTGACAAGGTACATTTCACGTCTCTGGGAGGTGGCAACCCTCTAAGGTTTCCTCTTTCTCTTCGCAACCTTTCCATTTTCAGTGCATTGCACCCCACCCACCAAAAACTCCTTGGGGGACTTGAGATATGAATACCGCTTCGCATATGCCTGCATCCATGCAGCCTTGACGGCTTCTGAGAACAGCGGCTTCGAATGGTGGGCCCCGCTGCTCACATCCTCTGGCAGTGTGTGCCTTCTGCAATACAATACGTCCCTCGCAACGTCTGTGTTGTCAGCCAAGTCACCATTTTCATTATATGTCACGAACCAGACACGCTGCGGGCGGGCATCCAAGAGGTTGTTGGGAAGGCAGTGCTTGTGGTAGGCCTTGGGACAACGACGGCAGCCTACCAAGGGGTTTTCCCTTGTGTCATGGCACTGGCTGCATGCCTTGCACTTGTGGAGGGGGCACACGAAGAGTGGGATGGCAGTGTCACCATCAGCCTCCACCTGTTGGCTCACAGCTGTAGATGCTGGCTTTGCAGTGGTGGGCAGTGCACTGTCATTCAAGCCCTTGGTGCCGACTTGGTACATTGGGCCTTTCGAGTTGAGGATCTGCCCCCGGCACTTTCTGCAGTAGAACTTACCACAGTCGATGTGGGAACACCTTTTGCAACATGACACAGCGGTCATCCTACGGTGTCCAATGCCAAGCAATTTGTGTACAGTTGAGCTTGTGCATTCGCTCTCTTGTTCAATTGTTTGTACCTTCATTTGCTCAATATCCACTGCTGTGTTTATTTGCTGATCATTTGATATGTTGGCCACTTCCAACTCATCCTTGAGCTATGTAGTGGAGTCACAAGCCCATTGTTATTTCAAGAACCAATGCAGAGAGTGGCCAAAGTCAACCCAGTGTACTGCCAAATGTGCCCAGCCCATTCACAAAAATGTCACAATTGAAAGGAAGTGGAAACATGGTGGGAGAACAAATTTGAAGTACAGATCAGATCTTCTCTATTCACAACGTGTGGCAAGTGGCAAACGTCAACTCAGGTAACAAAGGAAGAATGTATACCATCAACTTGTTTGCCGTACACAAAACGCTGCAGAATAGATTCAACACTAAACTTGGGCACTTATGAAGATCGACCTCTGGGCAATTTGTGCACTAACTTGTTGCCAAAACTGACCTGCAGGCGACTTTGCCGTGCCATCTGACAGTATGATCCGCAGACAAAACACAAACACACAAGCATTCCTGCTGGAAGAGGATGCTCCAATGCATGGCTTGTTTTCTGGATTCTAGAATACATCTGAGGACGTTCAAGCTCTTGCAAGGAAAGGATGCTGTAAAGCACAACAGCTTTCTTGTTTCAAAATACACCTCAAAAACACAAACAAGAAATCATCCCTGGTTTTCTCCTCGGCAGGTCAGCGGACACCAGCATGCTTCGGAAACATCATATTGTGCTTCCATTCACTGCTCGAAATCGCCAGCTTGATGGATGGGCTTGCCTTGTCATGTTGTGACAAGTACATAATCAACAGAATTGGACACATGAAGTCACCTGAACAACTCCTGCTTTTCCCCATTCGCCGGGCCCTCCGTTTTGCAAGCATAGCATTGGTGGATGCCCGTGAAGCAATTTGGACATTCGAAGGAATCGTCATGGTCAAAGATGACCTTTGCCAAATCCCGCGCCACCTCCAGGGGGTTGCATTCTGGTGACAGATATCAACAATTCCATCAACGATCCGATCCATTCCCTTGTCTGCTCTTTCTGGGACAATGTTCAATCATGTTTCTGTGTGCATGCAAGACAGGCGATGCTCACAAGCTTGTGAACATCTTCCATGACCACCCCAAACAACATACACCAACTGCAATCCAAGGTCTTGCACACGCCATAATAGGGTTGCGATGCTGTAACAGCCTTCTGGTTAATGCAAACTTTGCACCAAAGCCACCCCCATTCACTGCAGTGTGTTGCCAAACGGTTCCTCAAGCAGGATAGCTTCAAGCAACAGACACTGGGAACACTCGACACAACATCTGCAGTATTTGTGGCAGCATTGTGGACCATATGGCATCCATCACTGATTTGTGAGTGAAGCAGAACCTATGGCAGCAACAGATGTGGCACCAACGAGCATGCTCACCCCTACCTTGTTCCCCAAGTGGCAAATGGAATGCACGCATGCAGGGACCATCGCAAAGCACAATGTCGCCTCCGTTGTCACACAGAGCGCACTGCGTGTCGCCCCCACCACCCATATCCTCCTCCACCAGGCCTGCTTCCTCATCATCCATTTGCGCTGTTCAAGAAAAGAACAAAAATGCTGCAGTGAAGTGCGCTAACATTCCATGAGGAGGAACCCAGAGTCAAGTCAAACACCAAATAATTAGCTCAGCAGCAAAACAAAAAGCAAAATGGTGTGAGCAAGCACATGCAGCTCCTCAGCTCTTGTCAGCATGTCATGGAGCATCTGTGCAGAACAAGCATTGCCGCCATCGTATGGCTACAAGTATTATAATTTCCCGCAAGATGAAACAACAGTGTTTCAATGTTATCGCACAACCACATTTAAAGGGATTCATGCCATTGCGGCTACCTGCTCCTTCCTGTGAGGCTTTGCTCCCCACAGCACTGCCCTCCCCCTCGCTCATTGCCTCCATGCTCATGCCGCACGGAGTGTCAGCAACATCTCCCATAGCCTGTTCCACCTGTCTGGGTAAGTTCGGAGATCGTGCAATGGCATCACACGTGTCGGGCAAATTCGGTTGTGTCTCAAGTGCACAATCGACAATGTCATCCTGCCTGGAACGTTTCCTTCCCCTGGACTCTGCATCACCAACACAGCTGATTAATGATCGAATTGAAGTGAAATGACTCCTATCAATCCCCAGAAGTTTCTATTGGTCTTCCCTGTGCCCTTCTGAAAAGGTGTGGAAGTCAAGGCTCATATCACACTAGTACTCACAACTTGTTCAGCTGGGAAATAGAAGGGATGCCACTTTAGTACTGGCATATCATTACATCAAACACAGTAGAGTGCGCAACACAGATCGGTTGCAAGGTCTTGGCTACTGGTCACAAAAAATAGTAGTGTAGCATGCAAAAAGATGCTGACATTCTAAAGCACAGCTTGGAATACCATGAATGAAGGACCAGTGAGACAGGGTCAACAAGAGCTCACCTTTGGCCACCTTGCCTTGTTCACCGGTGGGCTGCTGGTCACTGTTCGAGCCCAGTGTCCGGGCCAGCTGTTCAGGTGACATCTGTATCACAAAAGCCGGGGCGCTCGAGCGGGCCAGCTTTGCAGCTGGTGGGGCGGCATTTTCAGCACCATTACCCTGGTCAATGCAGATGTCCACAGGAGGCAACAAATGTATTAGAAACATTGTATGGAGAATAGTAACAAATGGTCCAACAAGAACAAAACAATAGTAGTATAGGAGGAACCCACAGGATTGCGTGGAGAATAATAACCAATGGTCTAGCAAGAACAATGCAATAGGACAATAGGTAGAACATGCCAAATAAGGAAAGGGAAGAAAGAGGTAAGTCTGGTGAAGGCGAGAAGGGGGGTCTTGAAGTTGAACACACACTTTGAAGTGGCTGTTATAAATTGCATGAGCGGTGAGTTGAGCACTGGCGTGCCACAGAACATCAACATACTGGTGGGCATTGTTGCTATTTGCCCTTCAACAGCAAGAGATGAAAAGCAGAGCTCAGGATTCTCCCAACACAATACCCATTCACACAGCTCCTGTCAGTATTTGAGCAGTGGAAAACATGTGGTAAACCAACATTAATACATACTACAATACGCTGTTCAAGTATATATTACTTCTTTCCCAGAAGTATTGTTGGTTTTTAATCTGTCTATAGCTTTGCAGGATCAACTCAACTAGTCAATCTGCCAGGATTTCAGCTCCTCCTCACATATTGCAAGAGTGGCTGCACTGTTTGCTACATTTGAGAGTGCTATTTACAGCTCTCAATATATACAATGAAGTTGTTTTGGTCGAATTTTCTGACTCACACGTTTTCACCTTAGTTTGTTTGAATAAGAAAGCAGCAATACTTTGGGACAGAGATAATATTTAAAATTTGACCACTATTTCTATTTTTAGCAGCAGGGGTGATTTAGCGACAGTGAGAAGATGTTGAAGCCAGGCCAAGTTGTGTAGTTGAACTATGGTTCTCATACCATTTTCAGAAGTTATGTACTTTTCCTATTCCAGAATACTGCACTTTCATCATGGCTGGCTGTTTCACAATCTGCTTGAATGTGTTTGACAAACACTACCCATTTGCTGGTGGGGCAATGGCAAAAAGGTCATGTAAAGGTTGGGCTGCAAAGTTCACAGCTGCACACCTGGTTGTGATTGAAAGGTCTAGTTCTGGACTTTGTCATTTGTGGCAGTCACATCTTGAGCATTGTTTTACGCAACACACATTAGTCAGCCAGACATTCGTTACAAGGACATATTAATTGCATCTTCATGGCTGATGCCACACAGAGACAATTTGCTCCTTCGGCGAGATGGCCGATGCCATGGCAAGAAATCTCTTCCCTCAACCAGTCTGGCCAAGCAGCTATTGTCACAAACATCGCCCAATGCAAATAATCAAAAGATGTGAAACACCGAGGGGTTTCAATGGGAGGAGCTGCCACCCAATGACCAAAGATGCCATTCATTTCAAGCCTGGGTGGGGTACGGCCACACAGGATGTTCATGCAGAACCATGGCACTGGGACATTGGCCAAGCACCGCTTGTACCTCTCTGCGCTCGTCCTCGCATTCAAGGCGCAAGTCCTTTGTTTTCTGAAGGTGTTTGGACAGTCTCAACTCACAGAATTGCGCGCCAGGCCATGGTCCCGCGCACCGGGCCCGTGGTTCAGTTCGCAAAGTTTCGTGTGCGCCCCCCAAACCACGACCAATCACAAGGGATCAACGTCGCGGGCCAGCCTCTTCCCGGGCGCCCGTTCCAGTGCAATATTGGCGGCAAAGTCCCAGACGATCACTTCCCAGCCGCGCCCATCCCCTTCGGATTATTCCCACCGCGCCCAGTTCTGCCCTCTGCTTTGGAGCTGAAGCCATCGGAGATCGCATTTTGTATGCCCGAAAACGCTCACCAGGCGCAAGAACAGCGCCCTTTCGCGAACAGCATCAAGGACATGCACCATCCGCGCCCACGAGCCAAAAATGTCCACCTCCCCTTTCGCTCCTCGCTTCGCACAAAGACCACGAAACCTTTCGCTGCTCCATCTTCTCCAGTAAGAAAAACAATCTTCTCCGTTTTTGCAGCCTCTTCCCATAAATCAACCCTCCCCTGGGTGCCTCCCCCCTCGCTTCAACCCCGTCGTTCCCAGGTCGACGCTCACCTCTCCGGCCCCTCGCCCGCCTTCGCCCTCCGCCAGAATCTCCGCCAAGAATGCCCCCCTCTTTGCCTGCAGCCGCACCTCCCCGTCGCCAACGCGCAGGATCAGCTGGCCGCCCACGCGCTCAAGAGCGGCGCTCCGCGCGCAGTCCAGCCTGCGATCCGCCATTCCGGGTCGGCCTGGCCGCCGACGGCCCAGCGGGGGCCGCTCGACGGGCCCCGCAGCTGTTGGGTGGCCTGCCCTGCGTGGGATGCCGGTTGGCAGGAACGCCCAGAGGCTGCGTGAATTGCTCCCACGGAAGACAGTGTTGTAAGCGGGGTGCCCAGTTCTACTTTAGGCCTGTAGGGCGTTTCCATGCACGGGACCCAGCCTTCTGTTCCCGATGGCAGTCGGGGGTCTGGGGGACGTCCCATGCAATCCGCTGAATCACTCTGACAGTAGTAAGGCTTGAGTGGGTGAAGTCCACAAGTTGTATTGTGGCACCGGTTGTTTTCATCGAACGGATGAAAAACTTTGCCTTTCTCTGGCAAATGGGGTGCTGATTGCTGTCTCCTCGCCCTGTCATGGAGTGCTTCTTGAATGGTTAAAAGTCCGCGTACCGACGTGCACTGAATCTGACGTCTGTGCCCAGGCATTGCACCCCATTGTGTTGTTCATGTTTGAAGTTAAAATGGACTCTGACAGCACATTTTTGGTCACAGGGCATTGCCCTACGCTCAGGAGTTCCTGTTTGTCAAGACGGGCCAAAGGGTCCCTGACACCCTCTTCACTACAGTGGGGACAGAGGGTGCTAGACTGTTTGGCGAGTAATCAGAGAGCAAGGGCGCCACTACAAACAATGTCGAAGAAGAGAGAGAAAGGTCCTGTTTCCGACAACCTTCCGAAACCGAAAACCGCTGCACACACTTTTTTGGCGGCTCCGCACAGCCACCGGCAACAAGCGGCAGGCGCCCCACCCAGTCCCGGCGTGTTTTGCAGCCCTTCGCCGCAGCGCCCCTCCCCAACCTCCTTTTCGCCCCGAGGGCCGACCCCGCCCGCTCGCTCTCTCGGCCGGCGGGCAGACGGCGCAGGCGACGACGCTCCCGGCAAGCACCGGCGAAACTTCGGCGCGTCGCCAAACAGCGGCACCGAATCACCGATGACGGTGGGGATCCCGGCGCGGCAACATAAAAGGGGTTATGGATAGTACGCGTGGGGGCGTCGCTGGCCTGAACCCCTAGCGACCTTTCCGCCCGCAGGAGGACGACGTGGCGGCGCTCGGCGACCGGGTCGAGGACCTGAAAGGTGCGCGCCGGCCGTTGCCTGCCGATTCATTTTTGCTTGTTTCTGTTTGCTTCGGTTTTCGACCCGCGCCGCGGGGTGCGCCGGCCTCGGCGCCATCCCGGGAGGGGCGCGCCGCGCGCTCGGATCGCTTCAATGCGCGGCGGCGTCTTGATCGCTCGGCGGGGCGTGTGCGCAGTGGCGGACGGCGACGGGGCGGCGCCGGTCGAGAAGAAGAAGAAGAAGGGGGATGGCGAGGCCGACGGCGCACAGGTGCGGGGGGCGCGGATGGTGGGCTGTTTTCTCCGGGGCTGGTGTCTGGAGGCGTGGCGGTTGGGCCATGTTTCAGTTGCTCAAGGGGGGGGGGGGTGTTCGGGGATCGGCCGCATGCCGATTTGGGGCCCGTATCCTCCCGGGACGCGTGGACGCCGGAGCCGGGCTCAAGGCTTTTACCGGTACCGTCTCCCGGGAGTCTTGTGAGCATCTCTTCAAGGGACATCTGGCAATGCCGCAGCAAGTCAGAAACCAGCGCAGTGAGTTCCCTGGGTGGTAGATCTGCCGGCCGTCGGCGAGATTCTTGCGGCAATGGCTGCGTTGCGCAAGGTGGATTGGCTGGCGCACGTGGCCAACCTGTTTCGGCAGTGGTGCCAGGCATCGTCGTGGTGTCTGAATGTAGTGAGGGGGACCAAGCCACGCAGATACACGTTGTCCTCACCAACGGGACGAAAAGAGATGCTACGCTTTGGACGGTGGTTGGAAGTCTCTGCGCTCATCTCAGGGGACAATGCAGTAATAAATGAACTTCTGGAACAGCCGGGCATACCAAGTGTTGAACCTGGAGAATGTTGCATGGCAGCAGGTGGTGTCAGGAGTGCAGGCTGACAGCTCTTGTTCAAGAGGGGGATATGCAAT